TCAGGAAAGGTTGGATCATGGTTAATTTGGATCTGGGTAACGTTAACACTTTATGTCTGTGTGGTTACCAAGGAGGTGCTTATAGGATATGTGGTTTAGTGACCCTGACTATTGACCAAAGGTTAAATACTCACGGTACATACTAGTAAATCATGTCGGCAGAACATACTGCGCCTAACATTCATGGTGTTAAAAGACACTCTTAGTGTTAAAAGTGTCTTTTAACTCCATGCTAACACTTCAGCAGAATGTCTTGTTTACGGTCGTATTCATGTATTATGGATGGCATCCCGTCTATAGTTTTTAAATCTAAGATTCTTGTGTTGGAAAAGATGTTGTCAACAATGGACAAAATTCTGATGCAACGTTGACCAAACATCCGACAAAAACTGCAAAAAATCCAGCATGAAAGCTCATTATAAAAAAATCCAGGTTTCGTGCAGGCACATTTAAATACATTCTGCTGATGTACTCCATATACTCTAGTAACCTGTATTAATGTGATCAGTAAACAATGAGCAGTTTTGACAGGTGTTCATGTTTTCACACACAGGTGAGGTTATCACCTGGATAACAAGCCCCTACAGGTGAAACGACAGGTGCTGTGGCGAGGGATGTGGCAGGCCACCTGGCTGTACCTGTATCTCACCTGGATCAGACCCATGATCAAATGGTTCCTCAGGAAGATACTGGGCACCTGCGAGCTGCAGCGCATCTGTCGAGGGTATGGGGGCGCTGCTAGGACCAAGAGAGTTGGCAAGTGTTCGATTTTCCTCCGTCATTGCTGTTATGAAATGAAAGAGGAACAACTCAAAACAACCCAACTATTTAAACACAGATAAAACAGATGTATAAATGAGGGCCTGCATGGGGGGGATAGTGGTTACGAATTACGCAAAATTTTTGCCACACATTACGAATTACTTTACATTCTCAGAGCTGATTACGACTTTACTTTTTGCGGCTAATGTACTATTACGAATTACGTTGATTTTGGGGGAAGCTGCCTACGGATTACGAAGACTAAAAAGGCCTGATTACGCCTTACGAAAAAGGGCATGAAGGCCCCCATGAATCAGACATGATTTTTCAGTTTTTTTCAGTTTTCCTCACCTCCAATCTACATGTTAATCAATCTAACCATAATTCTTCTATTTCATTCCACAGAAAAATCCCTGAAGCTGTCAAAGTATAAGGTAAGTTACACGCTTCTTACCTGGAATTATTGAGCAACATTGGACTACCATTGTGACTAATCTGCCTGCAAAATACTGCAAATAATGCCTTTACATTTGCAGTGTGGTTTTATTTTGCAGATTGAGTTTTTTGAAGTTCATAGAAGCACAAAGCACATATTCTTGTCGTCATTATTTTGTGCTAAGATGACACTGCAAAAACCCGAAAAATAAAACCACCACAAAGGTAAATGTAGTTACTTGTTCATGCCACATATCTCAACAAGAAAGAGACAAACATGAAAAGTTTTTAATGAAATACCCCCTCCTCCCTCCTTCCCCCAGTTGCTCCAGGAAGCGACACACAGAGATGTGGATGACGTTGACCAGAGAGTTCAGGACATCCTACAGATTAAAGCTGTCAGTCAGGAGAAGGATGCCCAGTAAGTGTCATCTTTGATCTGATGTATAGTGTATGTAGTCTGGTAAGGCTTAGGGAAAAATGTTGTGTTTCCTGTTTCCCGACCGACCCTTGAAAAAAATGCCATCCCTTTTCTTTCTTGTGTGGACCCCTGCAAGGGCCCAAAATTTGTTGAGCTGATCAACCTTTTCTAGCTCTGTGATCTGACACCTGAGTGATGAAACATTTTACAATCGGTTTTCCAACATTGACATTGAAAATATAAGTGTCCTCATGCAAGATTTTACATGTTAAACTACATATTACTATGTATATAAGCAAGGAGCTTCTTGGTACAAGTTGGATCAATAGAGATTGCCAGAGTCTAAAGATAATCCCTACTTACCGACCCTTTGCTCACCAGACATGCAGTCTATTGGAAAGGGTCACAGTCCTTAGGATTGGATGTTGAGACATAGTCCACTAAGTCCAGTCTTGATATGCTTGTTAAAAAGAGTTAGGTGGATTTCATGGGTATAGTCCATAGAGAATATGTAAATACTGTTCGGAACATCCTTTTTCTCTCTCACGACCAATCTCGCTGTGTTTTGTTGCAGATTTGCGCCGTCCCTGCGGGCATGTATACTACAGATCCACGGGTATCAGGAGCTGATACGGGAGGTGGAGGGGGTACGGGGGGAGGCGTACTCCTCAGATAACCAGGAACATGAGAACATGCTGATACAGGTCTGGTGGACATACCATATAATACTACTAAGTACCTAATATTAGCTCAGAAAAGAACAAGAAATAGTCATGCTTTCAAGTACCAGAGTTACCAAGCAAGTATTGAGGTGTTCAAAAACTCATTCTTTCCTAGAACTATCGCAGAGTGGAACTCACTGTCACAAAGTACAGTAGGGGCATCATCACTAACAGGTTGTTTGGTGTGATATAACTAGCTGCTGCCATGCCTCATGTCTGCAAAGCTGTTGTGTTACACCGAAGGGCTATTATATCTATAGTAGTTATACATGCTTTTTGCAGTTTTGTGTTATAGAACTGTTTTATTTCCCAGTAGGGTCTTTCCAAATTTATTAAGCACTCTGAAGTAGACATTTGGATAACAATTCTCTATTAGGTACGGGGTTAGGCAGCGGGGAGAATTAAGGACCAATGTTGTTAGCTCTCGTTTGTAACATTTCATCCCTCCCCTCAGCTGTGGGACCACCTGATGCCTGGCACCAGTCTGGAGTCTCGCATCACCAAACAGTGGGGTGACATCGGTTTCCAAGGAGACGACCCCAGGACAGACTTCAGGGGCATGGGTATGGACTGGGCCATTCCATTTATCATACAGAAGGGCAGGAGGGGTGATAGAAGGGAGATCATATGAAATCTTAGCATGAAAGTTCATCTGTGTTGATATAAAACATTATGATGAAAAGGCTAAAACTTTATGTTCCAACACATACATGTATCTAGTATGAAATCTTGATAAGGTGTTTATTGATGAAATATCTTAATGTCAAAGTGAACATCAGAACATATGTCAGGGGAGTGCTAACTCTTTCCAGGATATTTTGAGGTGAATGTTACACATATAGCAGTATGGAAAGATCTGATTTAATAAGTTTTCACTTCTGACAAATATGATTTTCCCCATACAGGTATGCTTGGGCTGCATAATCTGTTGTAAGTATGCCATCATGTGAACTTACTGAAAATATAGTCTGTAGACTCAAGCTGTAACTGTTTAAATACATGATTGTATAGTTTTTAAGTAATACATACCATTCTTTTGTTGATGGCTACATATGATTCCAATACCAAGGATGTTGAAGTGTATGTAGCAGACATGAAGGCCGTTTCAATGTTTTTCCTGCAGATTGCAGTTGGAGACTGTTTATCCTAATGTCTTCATTCTTAAGTTTTCTGTGTTCTGTAGTACACTATAGGCTAGCATTGATATTTTGTATGCACTTTATACTGTTTAGAAACATACTTAATGTTACCTATTTTAGTGGTGATGACTGCATTACCTGCTAGTTCAACATGTACAAGAAAGTGTGAAAGAAGAGGCCATGTTGTCTCTTAAAGTAGCAGTTACAGACTATTTATCCACATGTTGTGTTGATTCTCCAGTTTCTTTGCTGACCAGCAGACAGAGTTGGCAAGGCAGGTGCTCCAGCATTCCCATCATCCTCAGTACGGGTGAGTCACAGGGGGATTTCAGGGGGGGGGGGTCTTGGTCAGAGTTGGGGTTGGGAAAGAGAGTTCTCTTTGTATGTCACTCTCTGTATGTTACCATGGGACAAGTTGTTTTCAATTTAATAAAGTTATGATCATTAGAAATATACATAGTTCATCCATGGATGATGTCTGCTTTTGACCTCAATTATTTCCCCATTTTTCTGCTCTGCTTCATTTTCTACCAGGAGGTAAGTGAGATTTTGTGTAATGGTCTAGAGGATGTTGATAGACTATTACATATGATATTAGGTACTTAACTATGATATGCCATATTATGCCATACTTATGTTTTTGTTGACACTTGTTTGTTTTTCTGCAGTTATTCCTTTGCGATTGTTGGTATAAACATCACCAGCCTGACGTACTCCCTCCTGGTGAGGGGAAAACTGCGGACACACTTCTACAACTCCCCCAGCCCCGGCCCCCCCAAACTCAGCCACTTCCATCTGGTCTACTGTGAGTACTCACTTAACATTACCTGACATTTGCATTCAGGGATCTACATGTAGTCTGCAATGATTTTATACATACAGTCAAACTCCCTCCCAGGCCACCTCCGGGTGGAGTTTGGCAAGTTCTGGTTTTTTAAAACATTGTCTTTTGGTGGAGTTTGACAAGTTTTAGTTCTGGTTTCTTAAAACACTGTTCCTTTAACCCTATAAGTGTTGTGTTCCCTCCCAGGCCACCTGCTGGTGGAGTTTGACAAGTTCTGGTTCGCTGAGAAGCCGCGAGACGTGATGGAGTTCACCAGGATACGCAACAAGTTTGAGAAGAAACTTCTGTCTTTACTGAGGGACGACACCACGGTACTCCGCGGGAGCTTCATGGAGGAAGGAGAGCAATCGTAGTGAAGACAAATGTGTAACTGTTTTTGTCATGCCCTGATGTTTACAACAGACATGTCTGCAGTCAGGAATTGTGAGTGGACCAAGAATGTGGTGAACACATTGAAGAAGCTAGAAAGGTCAATTTTACAGAGCAAAGGTATAAATAATGTTAACCTTCACATTGGCTAGCCCGACAAACTAAAACTCTTCCTCAACTCGTATATATGGTGACCAACTTCTCCAACTCTGTCCTGCCACTTGCGACATAAATGTAATCCAACAGCATTGGGTGTCTGCTACAGCACCACTTACCATGGTGACAGCCATCTGGTCCAGGTCAATGACCCTATGTGTTTAGAGAAGAAGAAATGGAGAAAAAGCAATATGTTTTCCTTCACGAAGGTAAACATTATTACCAGCCACATAGAGAAAATTTTATTCCTTGTATGTCTTCTGTGGTTGTAGAAGAGACCCACCTTTACACTTTAATACTTGTAGAAAGGGAATCATTTTCGCAATAGACGAACTATACTGTCTATGAATATGATGCTTTTAATGCATAAATGTATCTGATATATTACCATATTATGATATTTTAGTGTCAATGATGTTCCAGCTGAAAACATTGCTACTTTTGCAGGTGAATAAAAAGTCGATACATGTATACCCATAGACATACGACTGTATTATGATATAATACAGTGACTGTGGTATGTCTACAAGTATATGTGTATTATCGTGAAATAGTTTGTATTCACTGTGTTCAGGGTAATACAATGTATTTTTGTTGATCACGATGTGTTAAGAATGTGCCTTACACACTACTTAATTTAACGTTATTGTATGTTGTTTGGTAGTCTCTGTTACCGAAGCTCTATCGTGTTGTGTTTATCAAAGTAAGGTATACAAAATATCATTGTCCTGTCGTACCTATGCCCAGTCGTGTTTACTTTGTTACAGATGTATTGAGGAGAGAATCCAAAGGCCCAATTGTAAACCTAATTAAATATTCATTACTAGATTACTTCACAGCTGTGTCAGACAGAACATTGCAAGGGAAACCCAGCTCATATTTCTGTCTGTAGTATTCTTCACACAGGTGAATAGACATTGTCAAAACAACAGATCTTTTTGACTCCTTTATTCTGATGTTGTGTGGACTTCATTGTTGGTGTTGATGTCATCATCACTTTGCACCCCCACACTGCCTAACTCTATAAGCCTGTTTCTTTGTGTATGACTATACAGTAGCAAATGACAGTTAATAACATTTGAAGGCAACCAAAGCGATTTCAGGGCAGTAAGACTGGGTTTTCAAAGTCAATTTTCTGGTAATTTTTTTAATATAGTAAGTTGAATGAACTCTGTCCCACAGCATACAGATATCTGTGAGGCAAAAATGCAATGTCACTTACAGAAAATTGTTGATTGTTTTGTATTGTAGGCTGCTTCTAGCTACATGTATTTAGTGGTGGTACCAAAAAAACAAAGGGACTCCTCACATAGCTTGTTTCTGGGGCTGTTTCAAATGCTTGAAGTTTGAAATGATGCTAGAAATGTATTAAGAAATGGCAGTAAATGTCAACATCAGACAACTTTCCTCATCTAGAATTTTTTTGCCACCCTAAAATTGCATTGTACGCCTTTAACAGACTATATATCACAATCTTGTTTGAACAAGTCTGCGGTAGACAATCAGTGTTGCCAAGTTGAAAGATGTAATAAATAATTGTTCCTTTGTTTCGTAGTAAATGAAAGATATATGAAACATTCTTGTGGCATGTCCAAGTGGCAAGGTTGTTGTAACCTTGGGGACGCAGAAGTGTTTCATGTTGTTGCTATGGGAACGCGGTATCTGTGATGGTGGTTGATTGACAGCTCATTTTGTTGCCGTTAACCTTGTTTGGCGTTGTCCTTTGATATGACACACGGCTAAGGGCTGCTGCTATGATCCAGTTAACTACCGCTCACGCCAACATTGTGTGAGGTAACATTAGCAGTGTGTTGTTTATACACATAGCTTTGTATGGCGGTTCATCTGTAGTCTCCACCAGACTAACTCCACGGGTTCAAAAACAGTCAAATTTAGCAGGGAGAATGATTGAGAGTTTTGCCACTGTAGAGTTCATTTATCCAAGGGGAAATGAAACCCTAATGATGGACCCACTCCCCTGATTATTCAGACCCTATATTTTTTTACCAACTTCTACTATTTTAAACCCCCTTAGGAATGCTTGCTAGAGGCTAGTTCACCTGAAAAGAGGAATAAAGTCTATTCTGGGAACTGTAAGAAGCCACAAAATTCTCGGAAATTGTACTTGTTCTGTTAAAACGTTAGTAAGCACACCAATTGAAAACAGAGGGCAAGACTATTATATATAAAGCTTCTCTACCAGGCTTCAGAAGCGGCTGGAAAGAGTAGAAATTGGGCAAATGGACAGATAACATGCCAGGGGAGCTGGTCCAATTAATTTGTCTATTTGGCCAATTTCTACTCACTCCAGTCGCTTCTGAAGCCTGGTAGAGGCTATAATAGGAATTAGGATGTCTAGAAGTGTGAAATCTCGCTTCTGGACCGCAAGGTTCGGAGTTCAAATCCCAGACAAGTCATCGGTGTTCTAATTAAATTTGCACATGCTATCTCTTGGTTATACAGTCCTTTAGAACTAAAACGGTCAGCCATAGCCTTGTGCTTTTCAGTAGTACTTAGTATCTATCAGACACCAATATGTGGGTATCAAGGAAATATAGTACAACAGATTGGGCCAAGGGAGTACAGTTTGCATATAACCTTTAGCCGGCTAGCTCCTCTTCAGTCCATTTGCCCAATTTCTACAGTACATTGTAACTGTTTTTCCTTAAACGTGGGACGCCTAGTAAAGTCTGCTATAGGAGAGCCATACTTCAAGAACATCGAATAATAAATATGAGAGCACGTAGACCCTGTTGTGTGGAGTTTGGAAACGTTATCAGTTCTCAGACTAACCCTTGATAACAGATTGTGCTGCCTTCGCTGCATGTTAGTAGATGCGATATAAAAGTAAATAGAAACCTCGTGACTGTACCATGGCTATTGACACAGCCCCTAGCGATGTACAAGTACTTGATATAACCAAACTCACTCACATGCACGCCGTACACACACAACGTTGTGATTGATACAAAACAACACATGCCAGTCAATTGGTCAACAAGTCTGTCAATTGTTCTTAGAGGGGGTGAAAGAATTGCTCATGTGATTTATTACCCTTAACCACCTGTGAACAAAGAGTGCTAATCGTCCTACGTGAGCTGCCGATCTGCAGGTGTTGTGCCTTGTGTTTGCGTAGTTCTTTCTCGGGGTTTTGTCCGAGTGTTTGAGTTTTTGTATCCGTAGTTTTGATACCGATCAGGGTATAGGTTAAGATTGGGTCGGCATTTGTTGGTGCACGGTGAAACTTGGCAACCGAGCATGTACATGGATATGTGAACCGGCGGAAAGCATTAACACGAGGGAGTGACTTTTTTACGTCTTTGGGCCACTGCGGATACTATAAGGTACATATACCGTGGTCAACAGGTACAGCGTATTCTAACACTGTTGAACTATAACATCTAGGGGTTTTACTATGTATATTGGTGTCAGAATGTAATACCTACTGACTTGAAATGTTCATTACTTTCTGACCCAAATATAACGTTAGTATATGATTATAATATATATAGTAAGAATCCTTCAGCAGCTTTACAATACATTCTACCTGTTGGCCACGGTATACATGGTTATAATCGTTAGTATTAGAAGAACTGGGCACGATGAAATATTATCACATATATATATAGAGAGAGCTTATGGTACGTGTAGAGTTTTAAAATATGTCTTTTAAAAATTCTTCAGCATAGAAGCACGGTGTTTGCCTGTAAAATTTGCGCCGTATTTCCGACACAGACCACGACAAATATGGAATATCTGCCCTATGGCAATGTACCAAATTCATACTCAGACGTCAAAAATACTGGCTAACCTCCGGTCTGTCATGCATTTATAAAGTTCCCGACAGTGGCAGATACAAGAAGAGAACGCTTGCAGGAAGGCCGGTGTTCTAGGCTAACGACCAGGTCCCGTACGGTTGGATTGGACCTGGGTCGTGTCAATGTTTCCTCTTTAATTTGTTGAATGTTGTTTGGGCTGATTAGACTATTTGGTTGGCGGTCCTTCGAGGTTTGCTTTGGCTGAGTAGTTTACTTGTTTAATTGTAAGTCTGTAGAATTTTGCTTTAGCTAAATATAGTACACAGTTTGGTTGTACAGTCAAAGTGACCACCTCTACGTACGGACCACCTGGTCATTGATATACAGTCAAATATGTAAAAGTGACCACCTTTACATGAGGATCACCTGGCCAATGATACTACTTTTTGGTGATCCCTTAGATATTTTCCCGTTGACACAAGCATTAAGAATCCTGTCTATAGTGACCACCTGTTCACATGGACCAGACTCACGTTAACAGTCCCCTGGTGGTCTTCTTGCTCAGTTTTGACTACATGTATGTAGGTCAGTCGGTCGGTTGATGTTAGCCTCTACCAGGCTTCAGAGGCGGCTGGAAAGAGTACCAAATTTTCCAAATAGACAGATAACATGCCGGAGGAGTTGGTCCGATAAAGGAGATAGCAGCGGCAAACTGTACTCCTTTAGCTTACTTATTCAATCAATTTCTGCTCTTTCCAATCGCTTCTGAAGCCTGGTAGAGGCTAGGTTCATAAGCCTAAGGTTTCCATGGATTGACATTTCCACTAAACACGGTCTTTCTTGCCAACCGTCCCTAAATATAACCCTTTCCTCTGACGGAGTACTTTGATGTCTGCATCCTCCCCACAGGTATGTTTATTATGGGTAGAGACTTAACCTCCGGCGCCCTTCCATTCATTCTGTCCGGTGTAACTCCATACTGCTACACCACACAGGCCCGTTACAATGGGGTGTAGATTGTGTTTCGGGTCGGAGGTCGGGCCATTCATCCTCGGTAACACAAGGCGCAGTTTACGTTCAGACGGAGTAACGAAAAGCCTGGCGGACATGAAACATCAACATCGGGGCCATAGAAACCGGCAATAACGTTCTCAGGACATCGGCCACTGGCGATTAGAGGCTCTGTTGGGGTATTTAGACAAACGTGATCCCCAAGGACTATGAAAGAACACAATTTCCCAAAAGTAACTCGTAAGCTTCTGTATTCCTGAGATATTGGAATGATTTTATGCATGATTCACAGTTGGTGTTTCTTCTGTGTTTGTTACCCTTTAACACACTTTTCTTGACTTAAAGTTGTTGTTAACCCCCTCAGTGCGCCTCCCAGAGATGAGAAAGTCGGATTGCGCGTGCCCGGAAGCCGCCGGGTTGCCCACAGAACTCTGACGGGCCGCATGATGTCCTCTAACCGTCCCCTGTCCCGCCACCTGCCGAGCCGTGTACACTCCTCCTCACCTGCCGTGTCACACAGGTGAGCACCTGGCTGTCCTCCCTCCGCCGCATTGCACCTGAAGCCACCTGTTTCACGATCAGCTGCGACGAGGACCGTTGCCAGGTAAGGGACAAGAACAACAACTTACTATCCTTCTGTAGCACCTACATGTATCTAGTCCTCGGTCTAAGTATACATTGTCAACTAGGCCATCCAAGACATCAGAAACTGATTTCGTACTGTTGTCTTTTAATCGTATTATGTCAAAGCTTTGCACTGGTAACACCTGGTTTAAGCCCCGGTAACACAGAGGGTACGGTGCATGTACAATGATTTTTTTCTCGACGATATCGCTATATGTCGTACGTTTGTGAAGAAATGGGTGCAAAGATTTGATTTTTAAACGTTTTTTCTCAAATCTACGACGTACAACGCGCTCGTCGCCGAAAATCATCTGTCGTATGTGCGTTTTAAGAGATGTACATGTATGTGACTGGCACGCTGTAAGTTTATAGTTTCAAGAACAACAACACTGATAAAAGACCGATACAATATTCCGGCTTTTCATCACAACCAGTTCCTCTTTCTTCTTTGTATTTCGCGTAGTTTAGTGTGATTCAAGCTAGAGTAGATCGACAAATGGTGCCATCAAGGAGGACTTTGTCTTTAACACTGCTTCTTCGTAAAATCATTCTCTAGATCTGCGTAATTCTAATGCCACTGTCAGATTCGACACTGTACGACAAGTCTGCGATATGTAAGCGTTACAGAGAGCTGAGGACATTTTTAGATACCTATTCTTCTCACTCTCAAGAAAAAAAAACTTATCGTCGACGGTCGGCTAACGTTCTGTCATAGCCCTTAGCTTACTGAAACTCCTACGAGCAATAGTAATGACTAATGTGACTGGAAGTAAAGACAGTTACGCAGGGGATATAACATTACATGTATCTTGTGCGTAAATTGTAAACGCTTCCATTTTCCAGTCAATTAAACTCGGTGTGAAGGCAGCCATGGGCGCACTTATGTTCTAAGCTCTCTTAGTCTCTAAGTGAGTACCCTCAGGCTAATTTACGTACGTGCGGTCACATACTCACGTAGGCTACCTTAGTCGCTAGCGCCTGTTATAAAATTAAAGCAGTGTGACACCCAGGTAGTCTGGATGCAGACCTATAGCACCCTAGGACCTGAGTTACTTTCCTCGGGCCGCAGAGCCATATGAGCCCTGGAGCTGCAGGAGCTGGCCCGGTAGGCCCTGAAACAGTCTGGCAGCCAGGCTACTTTCCAAGAGCCTTCTCTCTGCATTACTGTAGGAAGCCTTTAATGTCGTACATGGCTAGCCTCCTGTGCAGAATTTTCTAGCGGCCTATGTTTTTATCATTGATTGCGGCGTTTCTTTTCGGGGAAAGGGGGGGGGGCATCGTGAGGATACTAGTAGTTGTATTAGTGACCGATACACCCTCACGGCGAAAACACCACAGCGCTCATAGACACAAACGTAGGCCGCTGGAAAGGTGTGCTACTTTGAGGCTAGTCCATAATTTCCAACCAGATTCATTCGGGGGCATGTAGGAGACGATCAAATTGGCCACCCGGAGACGGGCCCCGGGCGTCCAACGGTTACAGGCGGCCAATATAGACTCCCCTTGCCCCCAAGAATCTGCTTGAAGATTAAGACTTTCCCACGCCGGGATCTCCTGCCCTTACCGGCGATTAGCCGCCCGATCAGCCGCGTACACCGCTTAGATACAAACAGCACTAAAGCAAAAGTCCCACTCTATATTTGTGTCATGATTTGTTTCCATTCTCGTTGTGATTTCATTAGGAAGCAATGTAGACTGTTTTATAATCAAGTTTCATAATCAGCTTGCAATGTCGACCAAGACGCAGTCACATACGCCGTACGCGTACGATTTTTGGGGGGCTATGGGGTTTGCGACAAATCTACGACAAAGCTATGAGAGTACCGACCATCAACAAGGATCCACGACAGACACACAGACAGCCAAAATTTTATCATCCACAAGCAGATATATTTTGGTGGCTGCAAAACAGTATCAAATTATTGGTAAGACAGTATCTGTATTCGATACACCACCTGAGGTCTGGCTGGCTAAAAAAAACAGATACCAGTACTAGTAAAAAACAATGAAGCCTGAAGAAAAACGCCTAAAACACGTCAAAACCAAGCTGAAACCTAAACATCTGCTTGGGGAGTAAAATTTTTGGTACAATACACCCACGAGTCGACTGTCATGAGTTTGTCTTCAATTTGCCGTCGTCTAATATGACAAGGGGCTGATATTGTTAGGATACGAGAAGGATTTTTCTCTGTTTCTTAGTGATATGTGTTTTTTGTGTCCTGTTGCCCCTCAATGTTACCCCCTCTATGTAAAACACACCTGTTTCCTAACCGTTTAACATACCGACTGTATAAACTGCCGGTCTTGTTTGTTGAACATTTTTTGTGACTAACGGATCCGTGGCGGGAGGGGTCAGCTGACAGGAATGGATTCTTTATTCAACGTTGAGAAACGTATCAACGATTACAGCAACTTCGGCCTGTAGCTGTAACCTTCAAGCAGATGTAGGGATGAAAAATATCGTTACGGTAACGTTTTCTGGATGCCCTGGTTTTCTGACACACAACCTACTTGAAGGCATCCAATGCAATTTTAGGGCGGCAAAACAAAAGAAAAATACTCTGGATCAGGATTTCTGTCTGATATTGTCACTGTCATTTCTTACCACATTTTCGTAATTTCATACTTGAAGCATTTGAAGAAGCCAAGTAATGGTTCTCCGTTGCATCGCATTTTTGCCTCACAAATATCAGCATACGCTATGGGATAGGATGATTCAACTTACTACATTAAAAATGACCAGAAAACTGACTTCGTTGCCCTGAAATCGGTTTGAGTGCCTTTATGGCGATTTTGTATATTCCAAATATTTGGAAGGTAGAAAAATGCACTTCAAATATCCGGGAATATACAAAGAAGTTTCATTCAGACGGCATTCCAGTTCTTTCCACCTGTCGTGTGAAGGGGGGTATTAGGTAGATGTTGTACCTGTACGTCCACACCTGGCGCTGCTGTGCGTGACGTCACGTTAGACTCAAGCAGTCGGAACTGTCCGGTGTTGTTTCTGCTCACGGACCGAGACGGGGTGGAAGGTTTTGTGTTCTGCCACCAGCACGGCGGATAGTCTTACAAATCTGCCCGCTCTGCCCGCCGCCACACTCGTGTCAAACCTGTATTATCCTGGTGTTCAGTCTACCGCGGTTTGGGCGGGCTCTCTCGGGGTCTTAAGTACTAGTAGTTCTCCACCGCCCAGCTCAACTAGGCTCCCCGGTAGGAGTTTAGCAGGACTGGAGTTGGGCGGCGAGGAACTACTACAGGCCCGAAGAGAGCCCACTGAAACCGCGGTAGACTCCACACCAGGACGATTTTGTACGATCTAGACCAGAAGCTCACAGAAGAAAATGGCTAATACACTCCGCCTATTCTACTGTACGGTTATGTGCATGTGTGTAAGCTACAAAAACATGATAAAACCGTAGATATCAAGATAAGTTCTGTCAGAAAATTTTTTTTAGGTCATTGTCGACCGGCATATGAGCGCCCATAAACATATAAACATAACAGAAGTAGACCCCGTGTTTCTTTGTAGTGCCAGTGTCGGCTATCCAGTTTCTGCCCAAACAAATCGGACTAGAAAGACGAGAGCACTATTTAAACACTCACCTTCTCTTGTGGAAGGAATCAGGTACAGAAAATGTATCCTTCTGTATCTCTAACGGTAAACAATGAGCTGCCTTGTGTGCGTAAGCTACATTTGTACTCATAGTAAAGAAAATATAATCTGTATAAATCAGAAATGACCCTGTCTCTGTCCAAACTACATACCTGAATGGCCACAATATTTACGGATTGTATCCCCTTCCTGATAGGTTTCATATGTAAAATAACGTCGACCTCGCACCACTTAAAATAATACCTGACTGTGTGTATGTTTTTTGTTTTTAGTGACGTCTTGAAGTAAAGAGGGACTGTGGAGCTCTGTCAACGAGGTTCACTGCTGTGGATACGAGGAACGCTGCGCTGGATTCGGACGCAAAATGATGTGACCAGGCTGCTAGGACCACTTTTCTAAACTTTGCTGCTATTCGTATTGCTTTCCCGCGAAAGGAAAATATACAGACTCCTGTCGAGCAAAACTCCTACGGGTGCCTATTTGAGTCTGGCGGCGAAAAGCTCCTGCAGCCCCGAAGAGAGCCTGCCCCGACCGCGATAGACCGGACACCGGGCTAGTATATCTGTGTTCGCACCGTGCAATTTTTAGTGTCAGTGTGAGAGAACTGTACAATACCACCAGCCATGACTATGGAAGAACTGCAGCAGAAGTACCGGTCCTGCGCCAAAGAGCTTCGCCTGTTTCACGGCGAACTCATCTCAAACGAGAAAAACGTGAAACGCCTCGGTCGAGACATCGCAGAGAACGAGACCCAACTGGAAGCCTTCCACCAAGAGATCCGAAAATCCGAGGAAGAGCTCAACAAATTCCACCAGGAACTCAGAGACAAGGAACGGAAAATCCTCGAAGGCTTCTACAAAGACTTAAAGAAAGACGGGAAAAGGACAGACCTTGAAGAAGACGACGGCTGGCTAAAGCCTCGCTACTTCAAATCGCCCGCTCCTGCAGAAAAACGTGAAAAAAGCAACGTTGAAGAGGAGTATAGAAACAAATACTTAGAAGACTCCCGCTTGGTGATTAAACGTAAGGATCACTATATAGAGGAGGCTCAGAAACTTCTGGACGAAAAGGATAAATATATCGACCAGTCTCGGGCCTTGGCCAGACAGAAGGACATCTACATTAAAGACTTCCGTAAGCTTGGAGAGACGAAGGACAGGTACATCCAGGAGTCGAAGCGGGTAGAAGAGGAGAGAGACAAGTGGTTGGCACAGATCAAGCAGCTAATGGAAGACACAGAGAACTGCGTGAAGGAACTGACCGGGACACGGGACAACATGACCAGGGAACTGGACAACATCAAGGTAAGGCTTAAAGTATGGCATGTTTAAGAAAATTACAGTAAATATTAATATCAGACAGATTTCTTCAACCAGAATATTTTTTTATCGTTTTGCCGCTCCGAAATTGCAATGGATGCCTATAATCTCCAATCAGATCTTTTGGTGACTACGTACCAGACAGTATCAATTTGTAAGACAGTATCAAATTAGCTGCTATCTTCGCAAAGCGTAGTACTATGGGTCAGGGGGTGAAGTCTGCCATCTCTGACAGCCTTGTTGCCCGCTGTAGGAGGAAAGAGCGAAGATGCTGGGTGCCCTGGATACTTACGAGTTCGAATCGCAGAGGTACGCCAAGGAAAAGGAGCGACTTCGAGACGAACTGCAGCAGACCAAGTTAGAAAAGGACAGGATCACAAAAGAAAAGGACAAGTGAGTTGCTAACATGTTTTGATAGTGAGTACCCGGTCAGGAGATATTTCACACTCAAACTCATCGTTGATCGAGTCTTACTACACACACTCACACAGACAGGCATAGAGACACACACTCACACAGACATACAGACACACATTTACGCACACACACACACATTTACACACACACACACACACACGCACGCACGCACGCACGCACGCACGCACGCACGCACGCACGCACGCACGCACGCACGCACGCACGCACGCACGCATGCATGCATATGTATATATAAAGAGAATTCATTCCTGTTATTGCCGACGTTAGCAAGTGCTTTCTAATAATGCTGACCTGTTGCTTGCACATGTAGGTACGTGTTTGAAGACTACAAGGGCCGGGAGCGGACCGCCAAGCTGAGGGAGGAGCTACACGGGATCAAACAGGAGAAACAGATGCTGGACAGGACAGTGCGCATGCTCAAGGAACGTACCGAGAAGTACGAGGAGCGCATGCGCAGACAGGACAAGCATATCCACGACCTGAGCAGCCATATCCGGACCCTGACTCACGAGACGGAGAAGAAAACTAGACTCATGGAGTCAGAGAAGGTAAGACAAGACGTCTCTAGCTACTTGACCTTGAGCGGTGACAATCCTCACCAGGATTGCCAAGGTCAACTTTTGATTACCAATGGTAACACTATTGTCATCATTTAGATTTCCCTTCGTTTCTTCTTCTTCCTCTTCCGTTCCAAACAAATAAATGACCTGGGCCAGACAGTTGTCACCAGGGTAACTGGCACTGTAACAGGCACCCTTTCCTATTGGGTTACATTATGTAGCAAGTGGCAGGACCGAGTATACTACTAGATAAATGTGTTTAAGTAAGAATGAACAAACATTACTAGGACTTTGGGGGCAATAAATATCTTTTGACTCTGAGCCCCTAACACCTTTTTGGTAGTGCGTGTGCGTTTTTATTGATGACATTGACAGCTCAAGAAGTAATGAGTACATCTTTTTGAAGTTTATTTTTCTTGTTCGTTATCACAGGAGGAGCTACAGAAGGAGAAGAAGAAACTAGAAAAATCTCACACCAAATCTGAGGAGAAACTGAAGAGGAAGATCCAGGAGATGTCAGCCACGGTAGACAAGAAGGACCGAGAGATCAGCATCCTGGTGAAGAAGCTCAACACGCAGGCCAAACAGATAGAAATCACGCAGATCCAGCTGCACCAGAAGAAGACAGGCAAGGCGGCTGCGGGGGACAGTTGATACGTGATGGAGGCTAGTTGCATGTGCAGAACTTTAGCTTCTACCAGGCTTCAGACGTGGCTGTACAAAGAAGTAGAAATTGGCGAAACTCAGCAGTAGTTTTTAGATAACATGCAAGGGGAGTTGGTCCGCTAAAAGAGTACAGTTTGCCTTGTTCTCAGTTTAGGTCCACTAACTCCGTATCTAATCGGGAGCGGCAAACTGTACTCCTTTAGAGGACCAACTTTCCCTGGCATGGTATCTGTCTAAATTTATTTGGTCAAGTTCTACTATTTCCAGTCGTTTCTGAAGCCTGCTAGAGGCTACCCTGCCACATACGTCTTACAGGGTAGCGACGACAGATTGAGAGCGCTCTTATACCCCTGTCAAACCAGGCCATTGGAAGGCTATAAAATGAGTCTTTATGAGACTTGAACTACATGACTGTTTGTTAAACAACAGTAAATGTTTGTTAAACAACGCCCGAAGGGCATAACGTGCAATGGCAAACGGTGTCCTTTAGCCCGTATCTCCTTACTTGGGCCTTGCCAGAAAAATATTTCTATAACTTGTAAGCGTATCATGACTGAACTCTGCTGCATTGTGTATAAATAATTATGATTTGTCATTATTGTTTAGAAGAGATGCCACAACACGAGGTGGATTTTTCACAGATATATTTAGACATGTCTGATATATCATCTACATGTATTTGCACTTCACGTTATGCTGGATTGATAAATACGTTCGACATTAATTTCACCTGAAATAAGGCCACAATATTGTTATTTAATTTTCTTCTCCACAATTTTTTCGAAAATAAAGATAGTATGAAGACGATGTAATGGAGTTATTTATGATGAAAGAACTCGAGATGCTAAAGAAAAGTGTTACTCAAGCAACCGGATAGGTTTTGAAAACTAGTTACTAGTACTGCCAGACGCTTCAAGTAGCATCCACTAATTTTCGTTTGTGAAAGTATGATAAAAAGTAGTGGATACAACTCGAAGCCTCTGTAGTCAAAATCTATCCAATTTCTTGAGTTACACTTTTCTTGTGTATCTCACCACATGGATGTCTAACCTTCATCGACGCATAAAAAGAGATGGTGAAGACTAAAGAAAAAGCATACCAAAGGTTCTACGAGCGTTCCATGTCTTCTTTATTTTCATGGTTGCCTCTTCCTTGCAACCGATGTACGCATTGGCTATCGATTTACGTACTTGTAACTTGACCCTAATCACATTGTAACACTTCTATTTTAGGCAACAATAATTCGTGGGCGTGGACCAATCCTAAATCATATTATTATTATTTAGCACAAAGATTGGTAGTTAACGTTTTCCACATAGTGGCCCAATCACACGAAATATACATCGAGGTAAAGTGTTATATTAATACATCTTCATAAATATATACAATTCTGTGGTTTTTCTGTATATCTTTATGGCTTTTTCGAGACTTGCACTAGCCCGATTCTGTCGCTGGTCGCGTTTCGATGCGGTAGTCTGCTACAGTTCTACACGGTAGATATTCGTACCGACATGGCAGAGGGACGGAGTCTTTTCTACAGGTCAGAGACAGTTCGTCTGCGACTGTTTGAGCGTTTTCCAGCTCTTGTGCGCGCTCCTGGCCGAGTAGACTCTTCACCGTGGCTTCCAAATCGAACAGGTAGTCGTCCGTTACCATGGGAACGGATGTCCTCATGAAGCGGGACAGCTTGAACAGGTACTCGGCGTTGTGTCCGCAGCGCCCCACAGCGGTCGCGATGGCTACTGCAGTTTCCTGCTGAGTGGACGACCCGAGATATAGCGGGTTTTCTTCGGTGGACAGGTAGACTAGAACTTCCCGTGTCGGCAGTGACTCGTCCGCTGGATGGAAGCGCGCCAACTCCGTCGTGTAGCCTCCCAGCGCCCCCTCGCGGATCGTAAGGTGCTGCAGCGCCCTCCTGACCTGGCCGTGACCTTTCAGTTGGTACGCCACACCCCATGTGACAGCCTGAAAACAAGCGACAAATTGTAATTTGATATCGGGAGGACAAGAAAACACAGCAGTCCAAAATAACTTGTTTTCGGAGGACCCCTATTAAAAGCAGGTGGTAACCAGGCTAAGCTATCAGTAACAGTGCTAGAGAAAGCCATTTTACATGTATGGAACAAACAATATAAAAGAAGAATGACTGCGACCTTTACGATTTGAGGACCGAAGTTGTTGACATTATCTTAGTCTCTACTAGACAACGCCGGTTCATGATCAGTAGAATTTAGTCAAATAGCTCCGGGGAAAATATGGGCCAGGGGAGTTTATTCACTGTAGTGGGCCTTGTCTCCTTGCCAATTTTTCTTCCCATTTTTGCAGAATTCCACGATCCGTACCCCCGTAGGAAAGCCTGGTGGAAGCTAACATTATCCCACCGGTGTTTGGGTGGTTTTTAATGAGTCCCCCGCAGGAATGATAAACACTAGCACATGCTCAACCGCTCTAAACTAGCCCCGCCCCCGACGAGCCCCTAGTACTGCATGATGCAACAATCCATGATGCAATCCGCTACACACGTTACAGAATGCTCCGGGTTTAAATCTTAATGTTCCACGTTTGCGGATATTGCATGATTGTAGAACTCTGAGCTAATAATAGCAAGATATTTAACTCACTTTTTGTACTTAAAAATTAGCAAGATTGGCGAAATCTTACGTTCCCCGAATACAACTTGTAGCACACCTCGCTCAATGCATTGTTACGTCAAGCTAACTGTTCTAGTACATGGTTACCCACAAACAAACAAACGGTATATTTTACCGTCGAACAGTCGTAGAGTTTATAGCAAAACTCACCTTTTTATCCGCGACCAGGGTAGCCACCCTCCCCGGCTGTAGGAAAAACACAAAGGGAAGGGTGTAAACAAACAAACAATAAACACAAGACACAATAAACACACGATCTGGTGTACGGAGACGTTTAGACAAGGACGCAAATAATTAAAGAAATTCCTAAAATAATAATACCAGTTATTCCTTGGGTAATACTACGTGGCTATATCCAGATGATAGAGGCTTGTTGTGCTTTATTATTATTATAACAGGATGTTAGTAAACAGATACGTACGCATGCATGTCTACGGCATATAGATCCCGCTATCACACGGCCCGCTATCTAATGAGTACAGTTTAGTACAACTGTAGTCCGTTAGCAGACTAATTCCCTGGCATGTTATCTGTCTATTTGGTCAATTTCTACTCTTTCCAGTCGCTTTGAAGCCCCATAGAGGCTAGTGAAGATAACTGGTCCATGTTGAAAGCAGTGTTTCATGTTGCATCATCCTCGTGTTATACTATATACAGGCTGGCGGCTGCCCTAAACGTTGGCAAAAGATTTTGATTTTTTTTTTTTTTACAGAAGCGTGGACTAAAGCTTAAGATGTGCGAATGAAAGAACTCAATTACAGCTGAGATAATTTTCCACGAAGAATGGGTTGTATTTCCTGTGTACGTAATGCTAGCCGTACCCAAACAATCAAACGCTAATACATATCTGTCACGCGCCCTACTCACGAGGAAATTATTCATCACAAAGGACGGCTCAGAAAAAATGCCAGACCCTCGTGCGGGTAGATACCAAGGAAACCGAAATATTGGAAATATATATTTCTACTAATATGTAATGGGTGTGAAAGATGTTCTCACCTGGTCTGGCGTCCCTCTGTGTACCGTGTTGGCCTGCCAAAATCTTCGGGAGAAGCCCGGCACAGACCCCACAACTCGGGCGGTGTACGGGAAGCAAGTGTTCCACGTCAGAGAACCGTACCCGAACACCCACAGATCCGTCAGTTCGCCTCCTGGATCGGTCGCGGACGGTGCCATATTAGGGATATCTTTGTGTAGACGTATATTTGCGATCGTGAAAGGAGAATTGTCGGTAGAAACTACCCAAAAGGAGCGAGGAATCAGTTCTGAGGATTTTCCACCGCAGCCGGAAGTTTTGCGGGAAGCGGGCGAGTTGACCTATGGTCCTGGCCAATCAGCGCGGAGATCTGGCACGTGGACCAATCAGGGCTCAGTGATTGTTGCATCATTTTCTGACGTCAAACGCGCGGAACAACACCAGGATTCCACAACATGCAGCGTGTCACGGGTCCAAACAAAATATTGGGTTTGACGTCATATTCCGCGTGTCCTTACTGGAGGAGATAAATGAGTGGAAAAGTACAAATGTTCTGTAGACTATCACACCCATTGATTGCTACGTATTTTGCTGCTGACAAATAAGTATGATTACGCCCCAAATGCAAGAATTGTTCTGTAAAAAAAATGACGTTAACGTCATATCTAAGCGCCTTGCTGGCCTGATCCATAGCTATAATCGCCCCTCAGAAGGCTCGCTCCAAATCCCAAATGACGCAGAGCCAAGTTTAAGCGGCTTGCTGGCCTTGGCCTTATCCATAGCTTATCGCTTTAGAGGGCTCGCTCCAAATCCCATATGACGTCAGAGGTGACAGAGCCAAGTTTAAGCAGCTTGCTGGCCTTGGCCTTATCCATAGCTAGCTAATCGCTAATCGCTTTAGAAGGCTCGCTCCAAATCCCAATGACGCCAGAGAGGCGACCTAAGGTCCTGTGCGCTTTCTCCATCACACGGGTGACGACGCATCTGTATAATCTGCGGCAAACCGTTTCAGGGTGTTCTGTACCATAAAAATAGTACAGAGATTCTTTTGTTCTTTAGACCAAATTGATTATTAAAAAGAGTGAAGAATACGCATGTTAATTTCTCTAGAACGATGTACCTCTGACGAAGACATGAGATCTCCGACCTCTAGTTTGGGAATGGGAATGTAATAGCCAAGTACAAGGGAAAGGAACCAAACAATCAATCGTACACATTTTCACCCCCCCCCCTCTCGCTCTTCCTTCCTTTCTCCCTCTCCGTCCCTCCAAAAAGTAAACATAAAATTTTCCCTTGTTACGCGCGCTACCTGGCGATTTGTCTCGGTACTGCAGCCAAGAAACAATACCTACCCCGTCGCGTAACTAAGATGGCGGCCTCCATGTCTGTCGCACGTTTCGCACGACTTCGGTCCTGTTTCACCGTTTCTTCGAGGGCAGTCAGCTACACTAACGGGCATACGCTTGGCCGAGCTAATGGTCAAGGTAAGTAGCTTAAAATAAGTCAAAACAGATTGAAGTTGATTCTGCGAGGAGGATTGGTTGAACAGTTGCCCCCCTCCCCACGTGCACGTTCACCCCAAAATTTCTTTCAATATTAAATCGTCACAGAAATATGTTAGTATGTTACGTTTTAAGAAATATACTTTGTAGTGTAAGCCTAAAAGTTTAAAAGATTATTAAGTTCTAAAGTTTCTACTGTACGTGAAGCAGAATCATCACGGTAGTTACGTGAGCCCACCATGGTATGATGGGGGCACTGTTGCAAAATTATTATGTATCCAGAACCAAGCTTTATCCAAAACAATTTCTCAGGCACGGTTCTGGATAGTGGTGTATCCAGAACCGTGCCTGGAAGCAGTACGTTCTTGGATACACGGAGACTATCAAGAACCATGCCCAATCCTAACCCTAACACATTCAGGTATACCATACAGTGTACATGTATATTTTTAATTTAAGCGTGGTTTTGTATGAAATAGGCCATCTGTATAAATATTCTTCTTTCCCCTTACACATAGCTGTGAAATGCAGACCTGTGAGAATCCCTCCACAGTTTCCCGAGTATCTGAGACTCCGACATGTCCACAGCAGAACACTTCACACAGGATACAGGTAATTTGTTCACACATTTCAGCATCCAAAGCACGCCCTTTCCCTATGCAAGCCATGTTTTCTGTGCGAAACTTATTGGAGATGCTCTTTTTTTTATAAAAAGCAAACTTTTAAAAGATTACAGCGGTCTGGTTTACAGCTTCTGAAATGAATTATGTACCACCTCGGCCAGCATGTGATTGTGAGCAATACCTTTATGGGTGGCCTGACTAACAGCTTGCCTTCTGAAATAAACAGCTGGTGTTATAAAATAGCAACCTGAAATATTGATGGACATTCAAAAATCATTTCGAACCCTGCATTTCCAGATTCTTCCCTATCTGATCTTCTGTGGAGCATTTTAATCTAGCCTCCTCTGTAGGCTCTACAAGTCAACAAAGACCAGAGTCTCTACCTTCTCACTCACTATCCGATTTCTTGTCCCATGACAGACTACTGTCGGAGAGTCCTGCAGCAGAGACTGAGGAGCCTGACCTTCATAACATCATCAAGGACACAGAAAAGGTCACAGGTCAGCGGTTACATCACCTTGTTGTAAGACCATCCGGACCACTAAACCAAATAATTTGTGATTAACTTGTCTTAAGTAAGGATACATGAACATGGACTCATGCTGCCTATTCTTTACTACAAGAAAGTATATGTAGAGATGGTCACATACTCACTACAGGCTTGACTGCATTTCATGTATTCCTACAGGATCTGGAGAGGAGCACAGTTTCCAGGCCGAGACCCTCAAACTGTTGGACATCGTAGCCAAGTCTCTCTATTCTGACAAAGAGGTATTGTGTGAGTCTGACGCTTGTCTTCCTATCAATAGTTTTAAGACTTCTGAACAGCCCACTGGATATCTTTAATCATTCATAAACCCAAACTGAGTTGAGATACTGTATGATCTAATGCAATTTCAGAGCAGCAAAAAATAAAATATTTTGGATAAGAAGACCTGTCTGATACGGACATTTACAGCCATTTCTTAGCACATTTTCATCATCATTTCATACTTGAAGCGTTTGAAACAGCCCCAAAACAAGCTACAAGATTGAAGTTGAAGATTATAATTAAGTGTCATTGAGTATATTATAATCTCTGCAGGTTTTTGTCAGGGAGCTTATATCCAATGCCAGTGATGCCCTGGAGAAGCTGCGGTACCTGTCCCTGACACAAGGGGGCAGCAGTGAGCCAGCGGTGCCCCTGGAGATACACCTGGGTACAGACCTGGTGCAGGGAACCTTCATCATCCAGGACACGGGCGTCGGACTCACGCAGGAGGAAATCATCGAAAACCTCGGAACTATCGCTCGATCTGGGTCAAAGGTAAATATATCCTGAAGAAATTTTCACAGATCTGTAATAGTATTTTTAGACAGAATACAGGATGTTAAGAAAGTTTCCTTGTTGAAAAATCGCTTCCATGCCCACCAGCCTAACCATATGGCTGTTTGACACCACAAAGAAAGAAAATCAAGATACTAGAAGCTTAAATTTTATTTTATTTTTTTTTGCTACAGGCATTCCTGAGTGAGCTGGATAATCGCGGTCAGTCATCGACAGCGGCCAGCAGCATTATCGGTCAGTTTGGTGTGGGGTTCTACTCCACCTTCATGGTGGGCAGCAAGGTCCAGGTGTTCACCCGCTCGCACCTGCCTGACAGCCCCGGGTACTGCTGGACATCAGATGGGTGAGCATCTGTCAGAACGTACATGTACTGCACCTGCGCAAAACCTGTAATGCATTCTGCATTGCACTTTGGCAGAATGTCTAGTTTAAGGTCGTACAGTGTATTCATATATTTTAGGATGATATCACGTCTATAGTTTTCAAATGTTGTGTTGGAAGAGATTGTCTGCAACAGGCAAAATTGCAGTGTAACATTGACCAAATGGCCAAAAAGGATTTTGAGCTCTGACTACTAGTGACTACGCTCCTGTTTTGCTTTTACATATATTGACTTACAAATTGTGGGAATTTGATCATACAAATTGCCTGTGTCAGTATAAATTAGAATTGACCGGTGTTTGGTGTTTCCTGTCAGCTCTGGTTCGTACGAGCTCGCGGAGGCTGAAGGTGTTCAGCGCGGTACGAAGATCGTGGTCCACCTCAAGCCGGAGTGTATGCAGTTTGCACGAGAGGACGACATCAAAGGTAACAATTTCTACATAGTAGTTACAGTACTGTAACAGTGAAGTACAAATGTAGATAGACTCTTGTCATCCCATGTGGTAATAAAGATACTAGTAACGATCTGAACATATTTTTCCTCCCTAACAGAAATCGTGACCAAGTATAGCAACTTTGTGAACTGCCCTATCTACCTGAATGGGAAACGGCTCAACACTGTAGAGGTGGGTATCGATCAAGTGATCACAATGGTAAATCATGTAAATATGCTGTTTTATACATGAAAATTTATAGGTCTAGCTATCCGGGCCACACAGTAGGCACAGTATGCCACACAAACTAGGAATTTTCACTTCTGTTCCCCATGCTTAGGCACTTTGGATGCTGGATGCCAAGAATGTGACGGAGGAACAGCACGAGGAGTTCTATCGTTTCCTGGCCAACGCTTACGACAGCCCGCGGTACCGGCTACACTACCAAACCGACGCTCCTCTTAACATCCGTAGCCTGTTCTACATCCCTGCACACAAGCCGAGTACGACTGTTTGTTTCACTTGACTTGGCCCATCATAACTTTATCTTCACAGAAGGAAAACATATTGTTTTTCCTCCTCTTCTTTTCCTTCTCCAAACATCTAAGATCACTAACTTAGACCAGGTGGCTGTCACCATGGTAACTGTTGTAGCAGACAATCCTGTGGTGTTGGGTTACATTACACACGTATATAGCAAGTTATGTGGCGTCGTGTGGCGTAGTGGATAGAGCGTTCGGCGCTCAACAAGGAGCCCCGGGTTCGAACCTGGGTCGGAGCACGGGGGCATGTCCGAACATGCGCACCGACGTTGTGCCCTTGGGAAAGGCACTTTACACGTATCCCCCCTCAACTAGAGGGTCGAGTCTCCAACGGCAGTTGGCTTCAGCTGGCGGACGAGAGCAGCGCCAGGCGGGCTGGCGTAGTCAAGGCGGAACTTGAGCGTAACCAAGTCACCGGCAGCTCGCTGCAAGCACCCGAACCGGAACCAGCACGTCTCCCTCGATGGATCCGCTGGGGAAGACGGATGCCCAAGTGTGTGGGTCTCAGATTCGCAACCTGTTATCCACCTTAAACAAATCCACGCGAAGGCTACCGTGTCAAATGTAACCCTCACTCAGGTGTAGGGACTGACACGGTCATCATACTCGAAAATCTGTATATCTGTACATGAATCTGTATCTGTGCATGACTATGTATCTGTACATGAATCTGTATCTGATTGCAAATAAAGATCACGAGTGATTGCCATAGATAGCAAGTTGCAGGACTGAGTTAAAAGGGCTGGTCACAATATATAAGATTGTGTTGAGTAAGAATAAACAGAATAGTAGTGTTTTTCCTAGGTAAAGCCAAAGGTTAACATTATGCATTCGCTTTGCAAATGTTACTTTTCCACTTTGATTGATACATTGTATTTTGGCGATGTAACAAAATGTGTTCCTCTGTTAATTTGTTTCCTGTAGCGATGTGGGACATGAGTCGACAGGAGGGCCATGGTGGCGTGGCCCTGTACAGCCGGCGGGTTCTCATCCAGCCAAAGGCTGAAACCATCCTGCCCAAGTGGCTACGCTTTGTGAAAGGTACAGAGCAGTTACTCTGATTCAGGTCTCAATTTGTCATGGCTTTCATCGAATGTTTTGTCACTGTTGCATCAGAGGTTTGTCTGTTGTAGACACAACATTTGAAAACTATAGATGGGAATCCTTATGTGAACAAATACAACCTTAAACAAGATCCTGTTGAAGTGTTATGTACATACTGCATACATTACAGGTTTCACACAGGTGCAGTATGTTCTGTCGACATGCTTAATACAGAGCCTGATAAAACCTACAGCATTAGAAAAGGATGTGTTGTATGAACTGTTCTCATCTGTTTATGTCACCTGCCCAGGTGTGGTGGACAGTGAGGACATCCCCCTGAACCTGAGTCGAGAACTGCTACAGGACAGTGCACTCATCAGGTGACTTACACAACAGTGTTAAATTCAGGGCTAGAAATACTTTTTTCTCTATACCTGTACTGCTGTAGGTAACATTGAAAATTACCTGCACCAGACAAATTTTACCTGCACCACTCAGAATTAAGAAATATTGATCATACTAAAAACTATTCAGAAACCATTGCCAGTATTTCTTTTTGCACTTCAGAGGTGGTAACTGTCAATATAGCTATATTGTTATGTACATTTGTATATAACCCAGACCAGTGCAGGTTACACGTAGGTGCACATAGACATCAGAAGTACCTACACTAACCTACATGATAGCATATTCAACCTGAATTCAAGTGAAAAGTGATCTTAAACTCATCAATGAATAGTTGAATTACTTTTACAGTCGGGATTCAAACTCACGACCTTTTGGTCCAGAGCAAGGTGACTATAACCTGGGTACCATCCTCGGTAGTTTTTGCTGGCTCCTATACATGTATATAATATCACTGGCCGATAGTAGCAGCTGGTAGAAACTATGGAGAATGGCACCCAGGCTAGGGTGACTGACACTTGAGTACACTAGACACTTGCTTTCCTGTATAGATTTTTGATCCCCTCCCTCCAGGAAAATCCGTAGTGTCCTGACCAGCAGGATTGTGAAGTTCCTGAGTGACAAGGCGCGGCGGGATGCCGACACGTACAGGAGGTTTTTTGAGGATTATGGGTTCTACCTGCGAGAGGGCATCGTCACTACGGAGGACCAGGATGAGAGGGTGAGGATCTTTTTTTATTATAATCCATTTTATTCCTTCTTATGTAAACATCTTGTTTTTGCTCTGTTTCTTCTTCTTCTACTCTTAAGTTCAATGACCTAGACCAGACACCTGTCACCATGGTGATGTACATTTTGTAATCAACACCCTGTTTGTTAAGCTATAGACAGTATACTATTACTCATAGGTAAACATCATGTATTTGCTTTTAAGTCACCTTTCCAGTTTTATTTCTTACTTTGTTTTGTTTTATTCCATTTATTGAGGTTTACCACATGTGCATTTTTTTCGGAAACGTGTATCAGTTGTTCCATGTTCACTCTGTATGTAGTATGTTGCTATGGGTTAATGTACCTGAAATTCAATTTGATTACTCCTTCAGGAGTCCATAGCAAAGCTGCTGAGATTTGAGTCCAGTGCAGAGCCTGAGGGAACCCTGGTGGGGATTGAGGAGTATTGTAAGAGGATGAGGCCAGGACAGAGGAACATCTACTACTTCTCAGCACCCAGCAGACAGCTGGCTGAGACATCGCCGTACTACGAAGCACTGAAGAAAAAGGACATCGAGGTGGGTTTGGGAAGTTGTTAGATTCATTATGTTTACTTTCACAGAAGGAAAACATACTGTTTTTGCTCAGTTTCTTCTTCTCCTTTCACCATGGTGATTGGTGCTGTAGCAGACACACTGTTGTTGGATTACATTATGTAGCAAGTTGGAGGGGCTGGTCACTTTATCTGCATGTGGTTGAATAAGACAAAACAGAGCAGTAGTTTGTTAGGCTAGACCATGTAAAAGTAAATATTATGCTATTGCTTTGCAAATCATGTATGTATCATGTTGGTAACCTAATATAGGTTTTGTTATAGTTAATTGTTTAGTACCTGACCTGTTGATAACCTGTGGGTTTTGTTATTGTTAATGGTTTAGTTGATAACCTATGGATTTTGTTATATAACTTGCAGGTGCTGTTCTGCTATGAGCAGTATGATGAGTTAGTGCTGCTACAGCTGCGCCAGTTTAAAACCCTGAACCTGAAGTCCATTGAGAATGAAGTCCTGGAGAGTGATAAGGTGGAGGACAGTACAGAGGACAGCAAAGGTAGGGCTTGGAATGGGGTACAATTACAGCAAAAGGTAGGGCTTGGAATGGGGTACAATTCACAGCAATGGTAGGGCTAGAAATGGGGTACATTTACAGCAAAGGTAGGGCCAGGAATGGGGTACATTTATAGCAAAGGTAGGGCCAGGAATGGGGTACATTTATAGCAAAGGTAGGGCTAGGAATGGGGTACAATTCACAGCAATGGTAGGGCTAGAAATGGGGTACATTTATACAGCAAAGGTATGGCTAGGAATGGGGTACATTTATAGCAAAGGTAGGGCCAGGAATGGGGTACATTTATAGCAAAGGTAGGGCTAGGAATGGGGTACAACCAGCAAATGTTAGGCTTGGAATGAGGTACATGTATGGCAAATTGTAATACATGTTGCAAGGTGTAACATAACAGTTTTGTACAGTAAGTACAAGCTGTGTAAAAGCAGAATGGTTTGAACCACTCACACCTCAAGAAGGACTCCTACTCTTTTCAATAAGTTTGTTTGTGGGATCTTACATGAACACAGATGAAGTCTCCCATTAATCATATTAATAATATGTTTCAGTCACCCTGAGCCCCAGTAAGGCAGACGCCCTCATGGACTGGATGAGGTCAGCACTGGGGGAGAAAGTCACCAACATCAAGGTACCAATGAATTATCTATTTTTGTCCACGTGGACATTTTTGTCCATGTGGAAAAGTCAAAGCAACTATGGTTTCAATGATTTTATTGGCTGGAGTGGTGTTCTAGGGCAGTTTCACTGTATACATGTAAGCACTGTTCTTGTTTATTACGTAACCTCACAAGGTTCCACTAAGTCGTACTGAAAGACACAGACAATCCTTTACTCCCAGAACTCTCAAAATCATGCAGCAGAAACAGTTGTAAATTGAGTTTCAGACTCTTCTCCTGCAGATTATTTGTATGTGAACTTGCCTTGAAATTGTATATTCATGTGGCCACATTATATGTGCTATGTTTTAATTAATTAAGATATTAATTTAATTAATAATAATAATTTATTTAGATAATTTAATCAATATGGAATGGGGGCTTCTGATTGGTCAATGCCACCTGGCTATATGATAATAATGGCTTATTGCATTTTACCGTTGAATTTTAGACTATTGTATGTTGAATTTTAGACTTTTGCAAAATCACAAAACAACTCAGGAGTTTCTCCTGCCATGTTGTTTTTTTATCAAATAAAGTTCAAAGTTCAAAAAATTATACATTTTATAATGTGGAGCATTAAAGGGAGATTTCTTGCCCAGGTGAGCACGCGTCTGGACTCCCATCCTGCCATGGTGACAGTGATGGAGATGGGCGCGGCCCGGCATTACCTGCGCACGGCGTTCGCTGGACAGTCTGAGGCAGAGAGGTGGAAGTTCCTACAGCCAACACTGGAGATTAACAGCAGGTAACTACTGTCTAACATTCCTGCAAGCTCCACCTATTCTAGATTTCTTTGGGTGGGCATGATCACTGGTTTCCTTGGGAAAGACATTGCATCCTTCAAAAAGGCACAACAGATCGGGAGATAAAAAATGCAGTGGAAGGAGAGGGAAGGGGCTAAACCTTCCAATACCATGCCTTAAACCTGGATTAGCAACCCACTGGCCCTACGGTCTGAAAAAGTCTTTGAGACTACCTTAAGTTTACCTTTAACGTTTAGATAATTGTGTGCTGAGAACTGTCTTTTCTGTTTGTCACAGCCATCCAATCATGCTGAAGCTTTCTGAGCTGAAGTCTAGTGACCCGGAGCTGGCCAGACTGGTAGCTGAACAGGTCAGACATACATTATTTGTTTATATCACATAACAGATCATAGCAACGTTCCATTTCAATACATGTATACATACATGTACATACAACTAGAATGGCTCACAAGGTCACTGGATTAGAGTTGTTTGTTTATTTGTTTCAACACGCTCAAGAAGTTATCAGGATACTAAGTATAGTGTAATTATTGGGGGGACTATTCCATTCCCAGAAACCCCATACAGAAGAGCTGTAACTGGTGCTGTAGCAGATACCCTGACCTTTGGTATTGGGTCACATTATGTTGCAAGTTGCAGGACAGAGTTGGAGGGGCTGGTTAGCCATATGAATGTGTTTGAGTAAGAATTAACAGAGCAATAGTTTGTTACTTAGGCTAGAGTGAGTGCTCTAGACCACGAAGGTAAACATTATGCTATGTGCTTTGGCTTTGCAATCGTTACCTTTCTACTTATCCATCCATCTATCCCGTCCTCAGGTGTACGACAATGCCCTGGTGGCAGCAGGTCTGATCGAGGATCCTCGCTCCATGCTCAACAGACTCAACGAGCTGCTGACACGAACCCTCGACAAACACTGACCCTGGAATAACATTGACCCCTGACCTATGAACCTGGGACACACTGACCTCTGAACCCTGGGACACACTGACCCTTGTCCTTTCAAATCTAGTCATTTCTCTTCTTATACGTTTGATAGAAAATGTCTTTTTTTTATACAGGAAAATTAGAAAAGCCCTTAGCATTAAATATTAGATAAGACAGTAAATTTGGTGAACATAATGTGTAAAGTGGCTTCTTGAAAGATAAAAATGTAGTTCTGAAAGCTTTTTATTACTTATTGTACATGCCATAACTTTTGCATTAAATTTTTCGTTTGTTATAAATAACAATAGGTAGTTAAGACAATCTCTTTAACTGTGCAGTATCCTTTACAGAGGATCTTTTATATTATGTTATCTTTATGTCAAGTCCCTCTGCCTTTGTGTCAGGAGAGTTCTGGATTAGTGGTTTGTCCTCCTTTTTTGGTGGTTTGGATCCTCCCCAGACCTTATCCAACTCAGACTGTGTCTTCTCATGTTGGGAGAACTCTCTTCTTAGGCAAGCTGGGAGGAATGTGGGGGGGGGGGGATAGAAATGACTTGTCTGTACATTAACCTACATATACAATACATACTATACTATACTGTCTAACATAGAGGGCAAAGCATACAAATCAAAAAAGAAGAATATACATGTACATGTGTGGTAGAGAACTAGACAAACACTGACTCAATAATCATTGATTAAAGCTGGTCTTGAAATGAAATGTTGTACATGGCCTTACCTTCATGCACAAGAGGCTTTGTTTTCGGTATGTTTGTCCATAGTTGTTTGACTAAAGTAGAGCCACAGGAAGTGGGGGGGAATGATGTAACCACAAGCTGACATGAAGGTGACTCTGCACTGGCTAGACTACACGAAATCAATGCCTTTATGCCTAGAGATACATGCCTACATGAAATACATGTCTAATCTTCATCAACGTACATGCCTTTATATCCTCTAATCGCCCACACACAGATTTCTTGGCAAAATGTCGCAGCCCTTCTTTACAATTCATCTTCTCCATTTCTTTATTGATGTTATTGGTCAGCCCCTTAAACATCTCCAAATAAGGCTATGTCCAAGCAGCTAGCGCGTATTCTATCAGGACCTTCTACTACAGATAGCTATAGAGTGGTGCCACTTTAAAGTGACTCACGCGTGTACAAGGGAAATAAGGTATAAGGAACCAGAATGTAAAAGAAACTGTTAATATACATGTACACAGTGCTAGAGCACCCTATTACACAATGTCAATGACACACCTTTCTCACTCGTTGCGTGAGGTTCCAACAGCAGACATCACGATCTTCACTGCTCTTGGTAAAGCACACCAGGACGCCTTGAATTCGGTGCGTTAATTTCTGGGATCCGCTCTTCGACTTACTGCCCATTTCAACGGTGGCTGGTCAGTTTGATCGCCCGTACTTGGTCCAGTAACAGTGTCCATTGTCCCTGAAACTCCAACACGGTTTGATCTCAGTGCGTTTTTAGGATTCTCTGCCCCTCTTCGACTGACTGTCCATTTAAAAGGCGGTTGGTCAGTCCGCTTGTCCGTACTCGGTCCTGCAACAGCGTCCATTGTCCCCTCATCTCCAATACGGTTTATGGGATTGGCTCTTCGACTGACCGCCCATTTAAGCGGCTGGTCCGTCCGATTGTCCGCGCTTGATCCTACATGTACGTCCATTGCTCGCGGATCTCCAACAATCTGAATGTTCACCACTCGATTCGATGACCACCCCAACTTTTCCCGAACCGCGGTGGCGAGTCGTCGCGCCCTGCGATGCACGGCTTCCCGAATCTTCTTGATCTTGAGTGCGTAGATGACCGGGTTGATCGCCGAATTACAGAGCGCCACCAGCAAACCCCAGTACGGCTTTGCCTCTATCTCACAGTCTTCTCTCGCAAAGCACACGAACTGCCGCACACCCCCGATACAGATCGGCAGCCAGAAGATGATGAACACCGCTGCAATGATGAGAACGGTCACCTGCATCTTCCATACGTTTTGTAACTGCCGGTATTGTCTGGCCGCGACTCGCTGTTCCCTGCGGCGTGCGGCGGGCAGGTTGTCCTGGGGGTTCCCGGGGGGCTTGGTTCTGGAGAAGCGCTGCTTCAGTTCGATGAAGATTCTGACGTTGACGAAGACCACTATGACTACGGCCATGAACAAGATGCTGTTGAACAGAATCAGGTAACTTAATGGCAGGGTCGTTATGCAGGTTTCTGTGTTCATATTGATGCAGTTCCAGCCCATGAGAGGAGACAAGCACACAAGCACACAAGCTGGCCACGCGATCCCCAAACTCACGGCAACGTGTCGCCCAGACATGCGGGTCTGGTAGAATATCGGGTGGAGGATGGACAGATAGCGGTCCACGGACAGGAGGACCACGCCGACTGCTGATAGGGCCAACACTAGAAAGAAGATACAGTGCAAGCACATCGTTGGCCACGGTCGAGAGAGTTCTAACTGGAAGAATCTTGCGCAGAGGAAGAACGAGAACAAGCCCGTCACACAGTCGGCCGTAGCCAGGTTGGCCACGAACATGTACATGGGTTTAGACAGCTGATGGTTTTTCAGCACTCCGGACAGAACCACGGCGTTCATGAGGAGAGCGACTGTCCCGACAGCGGCGGAGGCGATCCCGACTTTCTTGTTCTCGTCCGCAAACGGATTGGGGAGATGACAGCACGCGGCTACAGCCAGGTCGTACTCTATGCTGTTTTCCATGTACCAGGAAAAACACTTCCAGAAAGTCGAGAACACCGTGGAGTTTCCTGCAGTGAGGTTCGTCGTGCTGCCGTTCATTTTGCGATGCCAACTGAAGACAATTATGTCAATAGACAACTACAGCAATAGACATCTATGGCAATAAACGCTGATTTTGGGGAGGTTTCCACCTTTTTCCGCACCGTAGATATATAACTTGATCTGTTGGCCGTGCCTACCAACTAGCCAAGCTGAGAATATATTATAATATTGGGTGTGACGTCAATGTTACCATAGTTTCGCCACCCCTACCGCTAGCCTTGCCATGACAACCTGTTTGACGATATCACTTTGACACCATTTCTACATCAATGCAAATGAGAATATTATCAATTCCTGTGAGACACAGGTGTTGAACTAAAGGTCATCAAAATGCCATCTTCTAGTGAAATACTCCCCCGTTACTTTCCATTTCCGTACGCTTTTCATGTTTATTGAATGGCATCTGAAAACAGCAGGACGCACAGGATAATCCACCCGCGAGCATATTTGCTTCCTCCTAGCACGTCAATTAGTCGGATGGACGTCAGTGAAGCATGCGATTTAATCAGGCTGAAAGACGCAAGGAGTAAACTAGAAAGGTAACATTTGCAAAGCAAATGCATATTCGCATATGGTCTGCTCTGTTAATTCTTACTCAAACACATTCCACTCGGAGTCTAAATCCCTCCTGCTATAAAATTGCAACATGATGTAACCCAACACTAGTTACCATGGTCTGATTCAGGTCATTGACCTTATTTGTTTGGAGAATAAGAAGAGGAAGAAGAAACAGAGCAAAAAAGATATGCTTTCCTTCTGCAAAGGTAAACATAATCATAAATGCTAAAGGGGAAAAGATACATTGAAAGTTACTTAGGAGCTCCCAACACATAAGTGAGGGTCACAACCCGCCGTATGTTTTTTTGTCCCTACGTGTTTTTTTTTAGGCTACCTCCGCCACGTTTTTCTGAAAGAATGATGGACACTTCAGCCCATGAACAGTTCAGCCCCCAGCAAATCAGGATGTTTCGGCCCAGGTCGAGGACGCTTCTGCCACACGAAATTATAAATAACGATATTTGGGTACTTTAGACAATTTCTTTTTTATTAATTGTGCAGTGTCCCTACATGTATTTCCAAAAAGACTGAATTGTTATATTGTGTTCAAGTCCCTTTGTGTCAGGAGAGTTCTTGGATTAGTGTTTTTTCCTCCTTTTTTGGTGGTTTGGATCCTCCCCAGACCTTCTCCAACTCCGACTTTGTCTTCTCATGTTGGGAGAACTCTCTTCTTAGGGAGGCTGGGAGGAACAGGGGGACAGAAATTACATATATGTACCTGAACCTACATACACATACTATACTATACACCTAGTCTAGCATAGGCCATATAACAACAGAACAACATGTACAGTAGAGAACTAGAAAAACATTCTATAATCATTGACAAAAGTGATGAAATGAAAATGTTGTACATGTACATTATGTCCAGGTATGTGTTAGGTGTGCACGCTATCAGCATGCTTGCTGCCTAGTGCACACTTTGTATTGTCATGTTACAATTATGAATAAATAAATAAATATGTCACTCACTCACTCACTATCCTGGTTTAGATTATTCTGCTGCCGGTTTCCCTGTCCCATGTACTTCTAACTAAGCACTCATCGAGTATTTCACCCACTAAACTGATGTTTGTGTTACAACAGTACAATGCCTGGTGATACTTCTGTTTTCATCTTCTTGTTCACATGCATCTTTTCAAAACACAAATTGTGCATAGCACTTCGGCAGAATGTCTTGCTTAAAGCATGGAGGTAAAAAGAGACATCGGACAATAGGCAGAAAGTTTGAGCTCCCTCCTTCTCTTTTTACCTCCATGCTTAAAGTCATATTCACGTATTTAAGGATGACATTCTGTCAACAGTTTTGAAATGTCGTGTTGGAAAAATAAAGATTTTGCCTGCAACAAGCAAACTTCATCAAATGAAAATTGTATTAAAAATCTGGGTTTCCCACAGGTGCAGTAGGTTCTCCAAACATACTGGTTTTAGATATTGAGAGATATGGAATTGAAAACTTACCATATTCCTGACTACAGTCCATGGCTAGAGGTGTGAGCTGGGTCCCATGTTCTCCACACCAGGCCAGGAGAAACTCACACTTCTTCTTACACAGGAACAACTTCTGTCTCAGCTCTGGACTTATGGGACCTTCTTCTGTCTGGTCTGTACTGCTAGCATCTTAAAGGATATAGGATAAGGAGCATGGCTTAGTGGATTGTCTTTACTTCCAAGTGGTGTGGAAAAAGTTATCTTTGATAACTCAAAAAGGCTTTGATGGATTGTCTTGATATTTGATACTGTATGGGACCTGGTAATGATTAGATTTTGGGCCACCTAACAGCTTGTAATGGTACTGCAGCAGAACCAATCTTGATGTGTACATTCTGGACAGGCTATGATCATGTTTTTTTTGTGGTAGATAGCTATTGCGCTCTACCCTACTTGGGTTTCTACAACAGAAATACATGTTCATGTATGGACAATTTGTAGGATTACAGGATTACAGGATTTCAAATGAACACATGAGCTATGTCAGACAGTGCAAGACAGTCTTCCATGAAAGTTGGCTACATCCCTGTGTACAGGTAAATATTTCCTTGGGGATACCATGTCGACATTATACCTTTCTCCACTTTTTTCCTGGCCACAGAGAAGAGCTGATGAAGATCTGACAGTGCAGCTTGCACAAACCGCAAGCTGTCTTCTTTACTGGGACCAATCAGAATGCAGGACACATCTTTTACAACAAGTGACTGGAAGGACACAGTGTTGGCCAATGAGGGATCCTGTAAGAAATATTGGTCCAAAATGGAAATTAGCCAACCTAAAGCACGTTTGCTTTCTTGAATGATAGCAGATAACTGATAACTGAGATGTATCAAAGTTATTAATTGTTTGGACTACATATTAATTGTCATAACATTAACACAGAGAATTATTCAGATACAATGTATATTATATACATTTTACATACAGTATACAGTATTACTATGTCCTTACAAAATATATATTGCATTGCTTGTTTAGTATAGCTGAGATCTAACTCCGTGATTACACCAATGACATCAAGTCTCATTGGCTATCTTAAAACATGCACATTTTTTTATCATGAAAATGCCTTGTACTTATAAGGTCACTGTGGCCAAGGTTCACATTTGGTAGCTTGTGAGTTTGATCCCTAGCCATGTTGTACCTGAGAATGGTACAAATTCTCTTTTCTGCTTATATACATGTAGCACTCAGCATACAGTGTATGGGAAAGAGTGTGGGAGTTAAACACCACAACCAGTGGACTAGCCCCCTGCTGTAGTGATTGCACAATTGTCCAAGGGCTACCAAAACAGAGATGGGTGCTGCCTTATTCACCATATAGGGGCAGGGAAAGACTTGTTGTTTTGACTTGAGTGTGGCATTACCTGATTTGACATGGCTGCGTGTAAAGCCTCTCCTACACAACCATAACAGGAGTTCTCTGTAAAGACAGGGCAGAGCTGCAACAATTCCTGCAGAACAAGATACATGTATGCTGGATTGGTTAACAAGTCTCTGTTGTGCCAATATACATAGCAGCAGGTCAGCAGAACATACTGAACCTGAGCAAAACCTGCAAACAGCTACATTGCACAGCTACAGTGGCTAGTTTCTTGCTACGTCATGTAGCAATTATGCATGACTTGTTATCCTACATAACGTATGGGAGGGAATGTTGCAAGTCAACAATTCTGCACCTGTAGTGACAACAGTTACATTGTTCTATCTATTCATTCTTACATAGCGAACACAAAGGAATGGGTACAGTGTTTGGAAAACAACTTCAGGTAGGTATCAACTGACTTGTTTGAGTTACTATGGTTGTCATCTTGGGCCATTGATAGATGCCACAAGTGAAAAAGTACATAAATAGTACCTGTGCTGCTTGCCTTGGCACAGTGAAATGGTCTCCATTATGCAGCCTGACCACATAAGCATAACAGTGGCTGTAGGTAATGTTAGTCAAGGGGAACACAACTTATATGTTTAAGCCACAGTTGTACCAGGAGGCCCTGCCAGGTAGTCTAAGGGCTGTTTTTTCTGCACTTTTGGGCATGACCCCTGCTTAAAACCTGGCAGCCTTGCAGCTAAAATACCTTTTACTCAAAAATTTTAACAGTCAGTTACAATACATTTGAAACATTTTTTTCATTGTTTAACACATTAGCAGTGATTGGTTGCTAAATAGTTTGTAAACTTTATAGCTGTACAGCCAACATGAAGTACTAGTAATGTGTATCTGTCATGAAGGGACCAAGCAAAGGATACAGAATATTCACAATGTTGTATTTTATAGACTCAGATGGCTGACCCTGTGGAAAATACAACAAGAAAGACAAATCATAGATTAGATGCACTTTACTAAATTGCTATATTCATAAAAAATACATGGTGACAAGTTGACAACACACATAAGTTATGACTTATTTCCATGCCATCACCAAAAGCAAAGAACAATACATGAATACAAATGTACAAAACAAATGATACAAAAAGAGCTATAAAATGAAAGATGACAGATTTTTCAATCCCTTGACAATGATAGTGTGATGTTGAGAAATTATCAGTAGTTATGAGAATAAGATTTGAGAATTGTTACTCTTCTTTGTGAGACAGTTCAGTTAAAAAAGATTAAACATCAGAAGACCATAAAATGAAATTTGCATGTGGTCTCACCTTAAGTAAGGAAGACAACTTGGGAATCTTTGCCATCAAGGCAGGAGGGGAGTTTGTGTTTGTTCTGATTTCTGTCTCCTTTGTTACTGAGTCCTGCTGGGTCCCAACTTCCTCAATCAGAGAGGCCTGTTCCTGTCAGAAATCAAGGATCACAGGTTCACAATTGTTAATGTTGTATATGTCATTTCAAAAATGTTTTCCAGGGCTTGAAATACTTATTATGCATACTAGTACCTTCACTGGTACAGGTAACATTGGAAATTACCTACACCAGACAAGTTTTACCTACATCATACAGAATTTAGGAAAATATGGATCATACTAAAAACTGTTCAGAAACCAATGCCATTAATTCTTTTATACATCACATAGGTGGTAGCTATAATGTACCTATTAAAAATTTACAATTATGCAAACCCATGGCCAGTACATGGACTATTGCAGGTTAGGTGAAGGAAGACACCAGAAATACATGTACCTGCACAGCTCCAATTTCAGCTGATTATATATTATGCACTTTCAAGAAATGGGTATTTTGAGCCCTGTTCTCAAACGATACGCTCAAAAAGTTGTGTAAAAAGGAGCCAGTACTTGTTTCATTCCAAATATCCTGGGGTTCTTCTAAAACATTTAGATTGTTATGTGGATTGTTATGTGATGTAGTGCATGATGGGATATGTACCTGTGATAGGCTCCACCAGGGAGTCCACATCTCCAGCATTTCTCCCAGCATGCCTTTCTCCACCACTGACTGGAACTCGGCTCTCTCTTGGTCTGTCAGCTGATCCCAGATGGCCTCTGTGTCCCTGTCTACATGTACAAAGTAGACATGATGTTATTTTTTCATTGATATCATGAGACTGAACTGATCATGAACAAAACTGCCTAAGAAGACCACTCATGGGAGTGACATGTACATGTTGTAGTGATCGATATAATCTGGTCATTGTGGTCCCTATACATAGGAGTCAAATGTACCATGTTACAGGATTTGTAAAGCTTCAATTGAATTCTTTATTCACATACCAACATTGTTGACACAAGACATACAAGCCTGAATGGTAAGTGGCCACCTCTACATAAGGACCACCTGGTCACTAAGAACACAAAGCATTCAGAATCCTGTCTAAAGTGACCACCTGTTCACATACTGAATTTTAACAGTTTCCTGGACTGGGTTTTCACTGTGTGATTAAACTTAGAATTCTGCTGAAAGCTCACCCAGGTCCAGCCCATGCAGTCTGTCTTCCAGTGTCTGCTCATCTTCCTCCTCCTCCTCCTCCTCCTCCTCCTCCTGGTCCTCCAGTCTCTTCAGCATCTCCAGAACCTTCTGTTTCTCCTCATGGCTGGGAAGGAAAGTCACATCATGTCATTTTCAGACAATCCACAGTAAAAGAAAACTTTGACAAAATTTAGTAGACTGGCAATATCTATTTAATCTTCAGTCTGCTGAGGTAGCTGTCTGGCCCCAAATTTGTATTGGTTATGGGGTTTGGCAGCAGAAAGGAAAATCTTGTGGTGCAGCTTAATTTTAAGCTTTCACTAGACCTATTTCTTGGGACTGGTTGCAGGATTTGGGGGAAGAGTTGCAGGATTAACCGTGACATGGCTAATTCATGATATGTACATGTACCTATAGATTCTTGTGCTGCTACAATTTGTAATATAGTGATTTTAATATGTGATATTTCCACCTCTATTTTAAATATGATATGTCATAACTTTTATATGAATAATTGGCACGACTATATGTTAACGAGTGATTTTAATCGTGATATCTCTACCTGTATTTTAAATATGTTATTATGTCACTACCTGTTATATTAATGTTTACCAGTTCAATTCAGTGCGAGACTGTAAATGTTTGTTGTGAAGCAACAATAATAAACCAATCTACTACTACCTTCCTCTTTGCTGCTTCAGCTCCTCAATGATGTGTTCTTTGTAGAACTGCTCTGAACACCCTTCATGTTTCTGTTAAAACAAAGATAGAAAACCTTGGAGACAATTCTATCATATTAGGTTAACAAATAGGATAAATAAGTGAGCATGAAAAGTAGTGAATGCTACTTAAAATGTCGATGATGACTTATGTCGATGATAAAATGATGGTTTTAAAAATTTATCCAGTTGCTTGAGCAATTTTTTCATTGTGTGAGCATGGAAACTTCTTTAATGGTTATAAGTTATCGGAATATGATGTCTTTTACTTTGCAATCACATATGATTTTTTTTATAAACAGAATACAGCATAAACATCACATTGTTTCTCACCTCTGATCTGTAACAGGACAAGGAACAGTAAGCTATGTTACATCTGGGGCAGGTATACCTGGAGTACTGCTTCAGACAACTGCAAGTTAACAAATTAGAACAAAAACATCAGATTTCAGGTCTTGATCAACGGTTTTCAAAGCATTTTATAATATTCTGACATCGCCTAAAACAAGGCTACATCATTCTCAAATTTCATTATCAACACGGATGCTACACACAACTTTACGTTTCTTCGACGTTTCTCAATGCCCCCCTCCCATCCCACTTGTCATAAAGTTTAACATCTTGAATAGCGAGAGAAAACAACATGTCTGTATCGTGATTTTAACGTCAATTGTAAAGTGAGGTTCCTCCTACAGCTTGCACAGCGAGTGGTCCTCAGAAGACTTGAACACTTGGTCTGGAGGTGGTAAACTTCCTTCGAGACGGATTTCTTCTTTGCTGGGCGCCGCCATGTTGGATTTCCAATGCATGCTGGGAGTTTAGCAGACGACGTTAGTTTCAATGTTTATACTTCCGTCGTCCGCTAGGCGTCTGTCTGGTGGCCTTTGGAAACTGGACACACTTTTCGAAAGCACAACGAACATAGAGACAGTGCCGATCTAAATAAAACGAAAAAAATTTATAGTTAGCTAGGCAGACCTTTTTTGCACCCCGTGATAGAGAAAAAGGTCCCTGATCTAAAGGAAAAATATTTTAAAACAGTTAAAGAGAAGACTCAATTAAATATTCACAAATCTTTGACAACACGACCAATAAGCTAACCCTGAAAATCTTTGTCTGAAAATCGAGCACGTATGGCATTCACCAGAACCCAAATAGACCCTCCATCAAATACAATTTACAGGAGTTAAGTTGAACAAGACCTTGAACAGAATTGACTTGCCCTTTTCCCAGTCTGAGCAAAAACACGCCAGTCTGCAATTTGCGGCGCCAAAACATCTCCAGAGTCGATCGCCAAGCGTAATTTACTACCATCACGTCCGCAGACATGGCAATCTCCCAATACAAATCCGATATCGCGATCGAAAATAATAATCTAATTTCATGGCAGACGACTTTGACTGTGACCCGCCAGGCGTATTTAGGCCACAGCAAATCATTCTTGTGAGTAACATCAATGCGCGCATTAATATTCACCTGATATAGAAAGGAAATGCCCTTTTCTACAAGCGTTCTAATTAAATGAGATGAAAACACAACTACAAGGACAGGTACATTGTAATACTGCTGAATTCAGGAATAAAAAAAACATTAACGTTTCTGATCTCAAAGCTTCAACTCCTACAAACGTATACTACGTAGGAATCTTGTTCTTTTTCCCGCCTTATTTTATCGCCCTATCGCATCTGCGGAGGATGCCATCCATGAAATTTACTTACTATGGCCCTAGTAGGGTGTTCTCATTGCCAAGGCCCTGGCCGAATGCCATTATCGAACGAAAAAGGTAATCTTTTATCAATCTTAATTCATCTAAGACCTAAAACAAGCGAACTGAGACGTAGTGACTTGGGTTAGAAGTGTATCACTAGTCCCCGGGTCATTTTCAAGTGTACGTGGCAACACGCCAGCAGTTCAAGAGAGGAGAGTTGTGATATAGATAGCAGGAGACGGGTACATGTAGGCTCTGGTATGTTTTGGACGAGTCCGTTTTTGTTTTTGAAAGCTCGGTGAGTTGTCTCTTTTACGTCGCTGCATTTGTAGAACCTCTTTAGTGATTCTAGAATTTGTTTAGTGATTTCTACAGTCCTTCAGGCAAATCGAACTATTCTAGAATTTGTTTAGTGATTCTAAAATCTGTTTAGCGATTAAATGAAATATGTTTAGTGATTATAAAATATGCTTAGTGATTCTAGAATCTGTTTAGTGATTCTATATTGTTTAGTGATTCTAGATTCTGTTTAGTTATTCTAGATTCTGTTTAGTGATTCTAGATTCTGTTTAGTTATTCTAGATTCTGTTTAGTGATTCTAGATTCTGATTTAGTGATTCTAGAATCTGTTTATTCATTCAAGCAAACCTAACCTGCCTAGTATACGTAGTAGTAGTAGTGCTTTCATGGAGTACAGTTAAGTGTTGGTTTGAGCTATGCCGGGTCACTATCCTGTAAAATGTAGTGAGCAGCTGAGAGTCTACTATTTCTCTAACTTGCACGGGTTCAAGATGTGGTAACGGTAGGATATGTTGTAAAGTTTAGGAAGAGGTGCAACGTTAGAAGGATGTGATCAAAATTTGTTACTCTAACCGCCAGCCGACCCTGCCTTGTTACAGTATGCAGGTGTGTTGATCCGTGTTATCTAATCCCCGCATAGGTGTTCTTTACCTGAGCACAGGTGATCGGATATCTGTTTATTTGTTTGTTTCGCATAACCGGTAAACCGCATTTAGGTGTAACACAAACTCAACAAAAGTTTTGTAAAATTAAAGTACAAGCGGCAGTGGGATCTTTAATTAATGTACTTGATGTGTGACTCTCTTCAAACACGGGGCCTCCGGCTTTACGTCCTATTCGAGTGGACGTCCCTGACCCAAGCTAGGTTCTCATTTTCACCTGAGGTCAGAGATGAAATAGGTAAAAGTGTCCCAAGAACACAACATGTGAAGCCTGACAGACTTGGAACCCAAAACTGTCAACCATAACCGCAAAACCACCTTGTCACCATAAATTGCCTGTTTATATTGTTTACAAGTCATTAGAGTTCTGAATAAGTGTAATTAGAGTGTCCTCATTATTATTTGTAAAAGAACATAAATCTCTTAGAATTGTTACATACTAGCATTAGGTCAACTGCCTTTTGTGTACCAGTTGTCCTACATTGTCGTGCAACAAAGTTCTTCTTCTTTCTTCTCCTATTTGAAAGGTGAAACGGGGGGGGGTGAAACCCCGTTTGCAGGAACTGTTATGTCAGAGATGATCTGTTGACCGCCTCTGACGCCTCCTCCTAGCAACACGTGACGTAATCACCGGGACCTACCGTAGTGCAGTACTAGTGGCCAAAGGCTGAACGTTCGACCGAAGCTCCGACTGGGCAGATGACTTCGACATATCAAATAAAGGTAGGTACCCAAATGTCGTCGTAAATTTTAACTCCAGGTTGCATATAGGTTGTAGGACAAGTTTGCGACGGAAAACTAATTGACGGAAACCGTAAGACGGTTGTGGATTTGTCACACAAAATAGTCATCTGTCTCAAGTGACAGAAAACGTTGTCGAACAGTCTTAGTGTGGACGGTATGTTCTGTCATAACAGTCTACTGAAATCGTACTACGACAAACACATTGTGCGACGTATATGTAGAGCGTCTGTATTTTTGTCCTTTACTACATGTTAGCCTGGATGCCAGACTGTTCCAATGGTTTCAGATAGACCCTGCTGCTCAGGGTCTAACTGAGGGGGTCTATGGTAAAATTTCTTGGGGACAGGTTGGCCCTAGAGCAAAGGAGCTAGCCTGTATACCGCGGTCCCTGACAACAGTCTGTCACCCAGGCTACTATTTCCCTGCACAACGCTAACGTTCAGTGCACCTGCCGTGACCAATCTGAAGGGGGGCGGGTTTATTACTGCTAACGGCGCACTACTAGTAGTTGTCACGGACTTCTCTCCACCACTAGAGCGGCCGCATTGATCAGCAGTCGAGCTAGAACTGAATCACAGTCACTTCTTTGTTAGCGGGAGCTCTAGATAGATCTGTCTCGTGGTAGCTAGAGAATTTGACATATAGTTGTGGTCCAAACGACGCGCCTATACGCTTTTCTGGTATGTTTAGAGCTCGGGCACGTATTATATACCCCGCCAAAACACGAAGCGTTGTCTCTGTCTGCTGTGAGTTTTGGACCGTGACGGCCCTCGTCATGTCTCCCCGTGCATGACTGTAGCCGCTACCCTTCTTTTATGTTCTTTAGAAAATCCTGAGTAAAGAATTCTCTTCAGTCGCTACCGTAACTTTCTGCCGGACTAGACGGTAAGAGTAGATTTCCTATGGACCACATAGCCTTAATGATTTTAGATCGAGAAAGCACTTCAGAGTTAAATTGCTTGGCGTGTCTACAGTGCGTGTACGCCCGTCTGTTTTTCGTGTCCACAAATGACGGTTGGGTGCGAGGGGCCAGAGTTTGTGGACGCCGGCTCCCTGATATTTGCCTGTTGTTGCGGGCGTGTTTGCCCACATGTGTTCACTATCCCAACGATCCGCGACGGTGAAATATTTAACCCTTCGTTTTTCTTTGGGACGACACCTGAGCATACGGACGTCTGTTTGCTTGACCGTAGCCTGGATGCCAGGCTGTTCACAGGGTAGGCCAGCCCCAAGTTAGTCTATGGTAAAAATTTCCTCTGCGACAGGTTGGCCCAAGGACCGAGGAGGCAGCCTGGCAACAGTCTGGCACCCAGGCTATGTTGGTCCTAGGACCGAGTAGCTAGCTTGTATACTAGCCTGACAACAGTCTGGCAGCCAGGCTATGTTGGCCCAGGGACCGAGGAGCTAGCCTGTATACTAGCCTGGCAACAGTCTGGCACCCAGGCTAGCTCAATCGTGAGGCAGTCATATATATATGTAGGGCACAAGTCATGGGAGAATAATCATGGGAGGTAACAGCTACATGTACGGAAATCTGGAGCATTACATGTAGAATGTGCATGGTGTCATGCGCCTTTGGTAGCGCTACAGGAAATCTCATCTTTAAGCGTGGTTAAAAGGTATGAGCAAATGTTTACTAGAGTGAAGAAAAAGTTCCACGCATGCATTTTGTTCTTCCAAAAAATTCTCTTCACAACTAGTCTGGGTTGTATCAGTGGTGATTTAAGGAGGGCACGTTTTCTATTTCGTACTGTGGATAAAGGCTTCCTACATTTAAAGCATACCTTGGTTGATACATTGGGGTCATTGTTTGGGCACGAAAATTTTCTGTAGGTTTCTGTTAAACCTTTCTTGCTTTCTTGTCCCTTTATACACTGTCGCCATGCGACAGTCTTGACAGTCTTTCAGTGCTGTGTAAACATATAGACAATCCCTATAGTCAGTTGTGGGACCCAAGAGTGGCCACCACCGACCCAAAGCGACAGACGCGATCTCTGAACCATTACAAATACTAGTAAAGGTGACAAAGCGAAGTGTAAATAGCTACGGCGCTGCACACAAAGGTTGATCCAAGGTTCAAAGATCAAGATTTTCTTCGCAGTATTCAAGCGCTTCGCCAAGGTTATATTTTTTGCTAGCGTTTGTATGGGATGTGTGCATGTATGTATGTATGTCCAATGTCTGTGTGCATGCAAGTGTGTGGTTTAGCACGATAACTCAAGAAGCTTTTAATTGATGGATTGTCATGAAACTTGGTAGGTGGGTAGGTCTTGATGAGACCTCGATGATGATAAGATGTTGGGCTCCCTAGCGGCTTGTTCTCTTTGTATGTCTACCCGCTCCCTATATGTTTTAGTTGTTCTAGAAAAGCGGTCTTCGTTGTGCCCACACCGTAAAGCATGT